ACTATAGCCCTCCTAAAAAAGTAGTTTTATGGTTTACATTTTATCTTACTGTCATTCACTTTCATTTATTTTAACAATAAATGAAAGATAAACACAGAATTCTAATAAGTAATTTAAAGACTGACGCACCTTTACATTAGTTCTGGCCTCGTTGGTACCATTATTATTTTATCTAGAGACGAATCTCATAGGCCCAGCTCGTCCCGTCCACTACACCAGCTGTAGGTGGTTAATTCATGTTTCGCCGCGCTAATCAAATTTCTCTTTGATCTTTGGAATACAGACGGGCTGCTCCTCTTTTTGGTGACATTCACTTGTTTTTAAAACTGTCTCTTATACAGCGACAACTCCCATAGCTTATCCAGGTATACATTGTCTTCAATTTTGTGTCGCAGTTGCGAGAGCATGACAGCTTTTCCGTCGGCCTAGGCCTAGTGGTGGGCTGATAAATGTTCTAGTCTTTAAAAATAATAAAATACTGGGCCTCGCGTGAACCTAAGACGGTTCGCAAACCAAATACTTTCTAGACTGCAGCTTTTCCACGCACTCGATCTTGTGCGCAGAACAAACAATTCTCTGGAATACAGCTTTTTTGGCGTTTTGGTTGGTGTTTTCTTTTCCTCCATTAACAATGTACCACAATATTCCACACACCTGCACGTACGGTACCATGTCCCAACTTCCCGACTTCTCTCTACATTCGTGGAACCAAAACGAGAACCGTTTGATTGGTTGACCTTCCGTCATAACATTCACCCTATTGCCAAATACGGCATCCTAAAAATTACGTCATGCTTGTCACGGCCAGCGGTCTGCATTCGATTTGACTCACTCTTTTACAAGTCTCTAATTCTCATCAAAAAAGTTTCTCAACATAAACTGAGGCTGGTGGCGCTTTCCGAAATGCGCTAATGTACTACGAAAAATCCATAAATTAGAGACTTGTGGCAAGTCTACGCTACTGCAGGTGTTGTTATATTTTATATATTAATCCTTAGACGGGCACTGCTATTGCATTACGGGCACCACTACTGCAGGTGTTGTTATATATATTTATATACATACAAAGAATACTAGGCCTAGGCTAAGCCTATATAATTTCACTTTGTTACTTTACACAAGCAAAAAAAAAGTTCGTGTGTAGGCTAGGACAGCAGAAGTGTGTGTTCACTAGACCTTATCGACAATAACATACGGGCTAGGTCACGTGAAATGAATATTCAATTTATATTGCTACTTAATTATTCATGAACCTGCAGTAGTGTCGCCATATAACGCTTACCCATCTGAACAATATTTTGTCTACCGCCCTCTATGAGTAGAGAACTGAAGTGTTGTGTCATGCAATATATTTTGGTATATAATAAGGCATTAAAAAAAATAATTAAAGTTTATATCGGTGAGAAAAAAAAAAGTTCTCATCAAAAAGAGAAAAATAACGCAGAGGCCTAGCTATAAAATAGTGTGGTGTGGGTGTGTGAATGATGCTGTCACCAACCATGAGGCATAAAATAGAGCACTACACAGATACACGCGTGCATTTATGGGACAACCCTGGGGACAACACGTGCGTGTGCTTGGACAAACCTATATTCTTGGCAGTTCTGATTTCTCAGTTGATAAGTTTGATGTTTGAATGACACTCCGGAAAGGCCAAGTGTCTCCCAATATTCGGCCATCCCCCTCCCCCTCTAAAACGGCCACAATACTTGCAAACTTATTTGTTCATTATGAGGCGCCATCTGTTAACTTATTATTTAGCAAAAATAACATGGCTTTTTACGTTATATATTTATATATTATTTTATATAATATATAATATTTTATATAATATATAATATTTTATATAATATAT